CAGTTGATAAGATTCACGTCTATGGCTTGGAATCCAATGTAATAAAATTATTCTATGGTTAAAAAAGAGGTTTTAGCCATTGTACATTGCATCACTAAATTCGAAAGTGATCTTCTTATAAAAGGTTTTTGGTAAGATCGGATAGTAAATCTGTCAAAGAAATTTTAGAAAAAGATGTGAAAAACTTAGTTTCGAAATAGATATTTGTACGATGGCAAGTTATTCTATCCGTCTTTGATTTTCAAATAGAACATATAAAAGGAGAATCAAATTCTTTGCATGACTTCTTGACTAGAGAATTTTTGCAGGAATAGAAGAAAGTAGAAAATGATCTAGAATCCAAATAAAGCACTAATCCAGAGTTCGAATAAAACACTAGCTAAAGGAGCTACTTCTTCATTGTCCTTAACTAGGTCTCTACCAAAACTTCATAACATATCCAGAGTAATGGCTGAGACTCAAAGTCCACCCATTCCATCAGCACAAAGAACCCCTTATATAGAGATGTCTGTTATCCCTCTAATAATAATAAAAGATGATCATGTGGCTCAAATGCCAGGAACAATGGTTGAGATATACCTAAAAGATATGGGAGGGAAAGATGGGGAGTATTTTGAAAGAATACTAGCTGAATTAGAGGCAGTGTATAATTAATATGGTTATATTAAAATGAGAGCATATAATTAATATGGTTATATTAAAGCTTGGGATATAATCTTTTCATATCAAAATACAGTTGCAGCTCATAGTTGGTTTATATAGTTGTAGATTATAACAAACATGGTCCTAAAAGGGACTGTCATATTTACTTCATAGCCTAATACAATGTTCTTTGGATCATCAAATGGCCATATACAATCAATCCTGATGAACACAAATGGGATTATATTCCTAAATTATAGAGACAAATATCTATAAAATGGTGGGACATATATACTACATATATGTTTTCCACAAAAAAATTGGTACTAAAAATTATCCCTCAAAAAACCCTTAAACCACAGGGATCACATAACGAATTAACAAATTATTTTAAAACAATAAAAAATCAAAACCCTACTTTAACATAAGAGCTTAAAAAATAACTCTTATCACTATTGGATGAGGCAGATGCTATGTCCACCTCAACCACGTCAGCAAAAGCAGAAGACGATGAAGACCTTCCAGAAAGAGGCGAAGGTTATGATCCCAACTATGGATCTCCTTGCTCATCTCAACTATAAAAGGAAAGCACATGGGATGGACTGACCCCATCCACTACCCAGAACACATGTCCCTACTTTTTAGAAGATTTCATTATATTGGACTTAACACCATTTCAAATCCACCGACACTACTGTAGTAGAACTGAAGTCATTTCAAATCCACCGACACTACTGTAGTGGAACTGAAGCCATTCCAAGTCGACCGACACATTTATGGACTTAAAGATGTTATAAGTCCGCCATTAACCTCTATAAAAGGGAACCTCCTTATTCTAAGAGGAATTGGAAAAATAAAAGTGAGTTTGTATCATGAGTAGTGAGAGTAGAGTGAGTTGAGAGCGTACTCCTGAGAGTATATTTGCTTTCTGAGTATTTCGGTTGAATGCGCTTTTTGAAGTTACCATCTGTGTATTTGGTGGTGGGTCAAGTTCCCTAAGTTATTCCGTCTCCAAGTTATGTACATTTCTTTAAATTTGTTTATGGATGATTTCGATATTTGTGTCTTTTCATTCCACATTGAAGAGAATTATGAGACTCTTCAATTTGGATGTCTAAGTTTTGTTGAATTTTGTGAATTAATAAATTATATATGGTTTTGTCTCTGTTAGTCTTGCTTCTAGATTTTATATTAGCTTGTGCTAAGTTGTAATATATATATATATATATATATATATAGGGAAAAGATGTTGTGCGCCCAGGTGCGTACTGCTACGGGTAAGCGCCCACGGCCCAAATTGAATTTGGGCCGATCTGACGCTCACGGATGTCAATAATATTTGAATTTTAATTTATTTCTATAAATCCAAATCGTTTTAAATTTTAGGTGTGTGTTCTTGTCATCAAGGCACACCTAATAAAAATGGAAAAAAAATAATTCTAAAAAACAAATGACTAAAGTACCCCCTAAAACTTTTCGGGGATATTTTGGTCAATTTATTTCATGTAATTTTTTTTTTTTTCCGTTTTTTTCGTAGATTTACATATTTTTGAAGAATA